GCACACAAAAGCAGCAGGATCAATCCCTGCCCCAGCAGCCTGGCGCAAAGGAACCGAGCGGAACGGCTCCCGAACGGCCAGCAAAGAAAATTCTAGGAATCCCTAGTGCTTGGGTGGTGAAAAGCCAAGTCAAATAGGAGATTGTTTCACAAGGAAAAAGAAATCCTTTTTTGCTCATCCCATTAACTGAGTTCAAAAAGGCAAGAGGCTGGTGGCAGAGTCACCCAGCTCCAGGCTGTGCTGGGAGGGGAGGGTTCGAATGGCAACGAGCGTTGCTGAGATTCCCACTGAAACATGAAGTCACCTCTGGGAGAGCCACTGTCCCAGGAGGCCAGTCCAGGCCCCCTCCAAGCCCCAGCCTGCACGGCTGCCTGTGCTCTCTCTCTCATCCCTGTGAGGGGAGCATGAACCCCCTGGAGACCCCCAGCCCCCCAGGGCAGCCCCCAGATACACACTGCTCCACACGGCTACCTGGAGGGGCTCACACTGGCCCAGGCTCACAGGGCAAGGTGAGGGAGTGGGAGAGGCACATAGAGGCCTCAGCATTGGAATCACAGATGGGTTTGGGTGGGACCTTTCAAGGTCATCTCATCCAACCCCCCTGCAGGGAGCAGGGACATCCCCAGCTAGAGCAGGGTGCTCAGAGCATCATCCAACCTCCCCTGGGATGGTTCCAGGGATGGGGCAGTGACCACCTCTCTGGGCAGCCTGGGCCAGGGGCTCAGCACCCTCAGCATCAAAAATTTCTTCCTTCTCTCTAGCTTAAATGTCCCTCTTTTAGTTTCAAACCATCCCCCCTTGTCCTGTCCCAACAGCCCCTGCTCAAAAGTCCCCCCCCAGCTTTCTGCCAGGCCCCTGGCAGCCCCCAGCAGGTCTCCCCAGCTGGAGCCTTCTCCTCTCAGCTGCCCCAGCCCAACTCTCTCCTGCTGGGCTCCCAGCAGAGGGGTTCCCCCCTCGGGGCATTGCTGGGGCTCCTCTGGCCCCGCTCCAGCAGCTCCCTGGCTCTGCTGTGCTGAGGACTCCAGAGCTGCCCCAGCACTGCAGGGGGGTC